AAGTGCGTTGAGTTCTCTACTGGATTTTTAAAAAACCTGTGAACCCCCTGAAACTGTATGTGAAAGTTGAGACATATGTGCATGTATTCTGGAGGTGGGATGAGGTCACCTATAGCTTTCATGTATTTTCCAAAGTAGTCTGTGTGTGACCTGTGCCCCTCCCCAAAGATTAAGGATCGCTGTATAGATTAAAAAGAGTCCATCACTCTCATTGCCTCAGGCTGGGTTGGGGGAGCCCCACAGCTTTCTGGCTGGCCAGTGGTAATCTACTGGCTTTGTCCAGAGGCTCACTGGAGTGGGTTTCTGCTAATGAGCTGTACAACAATAAAGCCATTGTCTAGTTCTCCTGGGCCAGCTGGTGCCTGTGAAGGCAGAGGCAGGAACTCATCCAAGAGGACTGGCCATGTTAGGTTACAGAACCTGGAGCTTTCAGACATCCCCATGTCAGTCTGCTTAGGCAGACACAACCTGAATCTATTAAAGTTGGTGACAATTCACCTCAGTCTCTCAATGTGTGCTATTAATGAGGCCTCTGAGCTTCCTATCCAGCAGTGGTGAAGGCCTTGCCCTGGGTGGCAAGATACTTGCTCTATGGTCACAGCTCAGCCACTGGAAGCTGTGTGACCTCAGGTGAGCAATTCACTGTCCAGACTCCACTTGTAAAAGGAATGCTGGTGTGGGCCAGGCATGGTGGCTCACGCCTGCAATCCCAGCACTTTGCGAGGCTGAGGCAGGCGGATCACGAGGTAAGGAGATCGAGACCATCCCGGCTAACACGGTGAAACCCTGTCTCTACTAAAAATACAAAAAAATGAGCCGGGTGTGGTGTGGTGGCAGAGCGGTTGCCTGTAGTCCCAGCTACTCCGGAGGCTGAGGCAGGAGAATGCCGTGAACCCGGGAGGTGGGGCTTGCAGTGAGCTGAGATCGCCCCACCGCACTCCAGCCTGGGCGACAGAGCGAGACTCTGTCTCAAAAAAAAAGAAAAAAAGGAAAAAGCAACGCTGGTGATTCGTAACGCATTCATATTAAATGTCTGTTGTCAGGCTCAGAAGAGCCATCAGCTTTAAGCTGTAGACTGAATAGGAAATGCTGCCTTATCCCTATCTCCCTCTAAAGCTTATAAAGCCTGCTAAACCCAGTCCCTGCCATATGCCCTTAATATAACCTTTATCAGCTCTTTTGTTACTCAGGGTTCTAAGACGGACTTAATTTCAGGTTCCACATGGGCAGCACAGCAAAAGGAGCCTGAATGAGGCAGCTCTACCCCCCAAAACCCCTGACCACAGTTATCTTCCGGGTAAAAAGACCTCAGAGGCAACAATTCTGGCTGGGTGCAGTGGCTCACGCCTATAATTCCAGCACTTTGGGAGGCAGAGGTGGAAAGACCGCTTGAGTCCAGTAGTTCAAGACCAGCCTGGGCAACATAGTGAGAACCTGTCTCTGTTTAAATAAAACAAACAAAAGAAGCAATTCTGCTCTTAACAGCTTGATCTCATTGAACACTGCCAAAGCAGAGGCAATTTTTTTGTAGTTTCATGGAGCAAAGGGGCCACTTGATTGGGAATGTGAGCCCACAGTATATCTACCAGATCCTGCTTTCCCAAGAAACCTACCCACTTACGCTACAGCCTTCAGAAAATGATTCCAATCATTTGTGAACCCTGTTGAGCTCAGACGAACTCAACTGAGGCTTTGGTTGAGTCAATACCATAGTCGTGGCCCAGAAAGGGGCTAGAGCCAGGCCTGGGCTTGAGAAACCTCAGTGCCTTGATTCCACAACAAAGCTGATCCAGCTGTTCACTGCCTGGACTAGAAATAGACTGCCCAGACCCAACAATTCAGAATCACAACAGGATTCTGCATCTGACCATGTACAGAACAGCTGAGCACGGGCAAACTTGTGAGGTCAGCTTGTCTGATCCCCATTCCTAAACGAGACCCCAGTGAGACCTCAGGGCCTGACCACACAGCTAGGGGTGGCAGGGCCAAGAGCTGAGCTCTGGTCTCTTGAGCCCTAGGGGCACTTACTGCTTAATAGCAACTAGAGGTTTGTGCTTACCTATCTTGGGATCCAAGCCTTAGCCTTTAGAACCAAAAATTTGAACCCAATTATGCTACTGAACTAGTTCTTAGAAGTGAAAATCACCCCAGAGCTTTCTTACATGGCTGGTGCCAGAGAGCGAAAGGTCAAGCTATTTGTAGCTACAGCTTGTGGGCGTGTTTACAGTCAGCGGCTCTATTGACTCCAAGAACAAACCCTTGACGACAGGGCATTGCCTCATGTCAAACAAAAGTAGTGCACAAAGTAGTGAAACTCTGTGTTTTGCTGACCCCTGCTGAAAGCCCAGTGTTTGCTACGTCAGCAGCAGAGTCATTCTGTTGCCTGGACAAAGTAATTGGGGCAAAGCCTACCTACTGGAGCCTAGGGAATAGCTCCATGCTCTAGGCCATGTGCTTGCTGAAGGCTCTGTAAGTCACAGGAAATACTACCTAGGAGAATTGTGTCCTGTCTGAACCTGGGATGTTTTCTGTTGTTTTGAGATAGGATCTCACTGTCACCTAGACTGGAGTGCAGTGGCACAATCATGGCTCACTGCAGTCTTGCCATCCTGGGCTCAAGCAATCCTCCTACCTCAGCCTCCCAAGTAGCTGGGACTGCAAGCATGCACCATCATACTCAACTAATTTTTTAGATTTTTTTTGTACAGACAGGGTCTCGCCATGTTGCCAAGGCTGGTCTCCAACTTCTGGGCTCAAGCTATGGTCCTGTCTTGGCCTCCCAATGTGTTGAGATTACAGATGTGAGCCACTGCACCTGGCCTGAACCTAGGGTTTTAAGAGTATTCAAGAGTTATTTTAACTTGCTCTCAAGCAGTGCCAAGTCAGTTGTGAGAAAAACTGGACACATTACACTCCTTGGCTGGGCAAGTGGGTGGGCCTGGCAGTATGTAAGCATGGAGAAACTAGAAACATTGTAAGAAACAGAAGCACAGGATCCACAGAGATGTGGAGAGTGGCTGTGACCTTGGGATAGCACCCCTAACCTGGGGTTTGTCTCCATCTTTAAAAGTCTTTTCGGGCCAGCGCAGTGGCTCACGCCTGTAATCCCAGCACTTTGGGAGGCTGAGGCAGGCGGATCACGAGGTCTGGAGTTTGAGACCAGCCTGACCAACATGGTGAAACCCCGTCTCTACTAAAAATACAAAAATTAGCCGGGTGTGGTAGCACGTGCCTGTAATCCCAGCTACTCAGGAGGTTGAGGCAGGAGAATCACTTGAACCCGGGAAGCAGGGGTTACAGTGAGCCTAGGTCACACCACTGCACTCCAGCCTGAGCGACACACACAGCAAGAGTCAGTCTCAAAAAAAAAAAAAAAGTCTTCCCTTTCATTAGCAGTAAGATCCTTATCTATTCTAATTGCCTTTAGGGCACAGTAAAGGATGTAGGAAAGGGCTTTTAAGGTTTTGGTCCCATCTTCCCTTAGATTCTTTAGTTCTTCTACAGGTTCCATGAGTAGGTGGTAGCTGCAGTGCTCAAACCTGTTCCACTCCTAAACTTACACACTTGGAGGGAAGGGGAGAGGGGGCTGAATAATCTTTGAGTGTCCATGTCAACCAGGCTGTGCTTAAGTCCCTTAACTGCTGTTTACTGAACTGAGTGTACTAGGCACTGGGCTCTTTATGACATCAACTGGGCCTCACAACCACCTGGAAAAGTTACTTTTTTTTTTTTTTTGAGACAAAGTCTTGCTCTTGTCGCCTGGGCTGGAATGCAGTGGCCGCCGATCTCAGTTCACTGCAAGCTCCAGCTCCCAGGTTCACGCCATTCTCCTGCCTCAGCCTCTGAGTAGCTGGACTACAGGCACCCGCCACCACGCCCGGCTGATTTTTTTGTATTTTTAGTAGACACGGTGTTTCACTGTTAGCCAGGATGGTCTCTATCTCCTGACTCGTGCATCCCGCCTGCCTTTGGCCTCCAAAGTGCTGAGATCAGGCGTGAGCCACAGCACCCGGCCAAACAGTTATCTCTTAACCTTAGTTTAGAGAAAACTGAGGCTTGTAGAGTAGGAATTCTGCTGGGTAATTCGGCTACTAGGCAGCACAGCTGGAACTGAAGCTCCTGATTCCAAAGCGTGTGCCCCAAACCTTCTACACAGTTCCAATGGGAACCTCTCCAGTCCAGTTTTTTTGTTTTGTTTTTGTTTGTTTTGAGACGGAGTCTCACTCTGTCGCCAGGCCTGGAGTGCAGTGGCCGGATCTCAGCTCACTGCAAGCTCCGCCTCCCGGGTTTACGCCATTCTCCTGCCTCAGCCTCCCGAGTAGCTGGACTACAGGCCCCGCCACAACACCCCAGCTTAGTTTTGTATTTTTAGTAGAGATGGGTTTCCACCGGGTTAGCCCAGGATGGTCTCCGATCTCCTGACCTCGTGATCCGCCCGTCTCGGCCTCCCAAAGTGCTGGGATTACAGGCTTGAGCCACCGCGCCCAGCCTCTCCAGTCCAGTTTTATTCTGTGGACCTCTGTTCACATGAAAGAATTCTTGTTCTCCGGACTAATACATGAGACCTGCTAGATTAGTAACAGCAGGGAATCTGACGCTCATGCAGCACAGCTTGGTTTGATACCAGGCATGATGGACGTCTAACCAGTGCTCCCGGGGGCACAGGCAGCCCTTCTTCTGCGAAAGGAAAAGTTGTTTGGGCTTCCTCAGGGCTGGTACTTAAGAGAAGGACATGCTCGGGTGCCGTCAGCCCAGCATATACACGTTTGCCTCCAAGCTCCTGAGCACAGGACCCGGGTCATGCTCCCTGAGAGTCCCACCATCTCCTCTGCATACACAGGTCCACATGGACAAAGTGCATGCTCCGCAAGTGTGGAGAACTAACAGATAAACAGCCAACTACCTCTGCCCGTATTCCCCCACCCCAGCTTAAACTCCTGAAATGTGAAATACCCTTAGCAGGATTTCACCTGATATTTTTTAAAAATTAAAACACCAAGTTGATATTCAAGATCTTTATTGATTTAACTATAACAGCAACCATTGATGAGAATTTAATTTTTTCCCTAATTTCCAAACATCTGCTGGTTTGGAAGGATAGTTAGAATACAAAAACAACTGATCATGGAATCACACAGGACTGCCTCAAGGACTGCGTGGTACCCTCTGCTATCCATCCACACACAGTGAAATGGATGGGAGGGATGAGGGGACAACACATCATGGGAGACAAAGGGAAGACCAAGGAAAGTGCTGGCAGTCTCTGCTTTTCCATTCAGAATGGATGGAACTGGGCCATTAGTGGCACTAAGACAGGGCAGGGCTATTTTTTTTCTTAAATAAAATATTTTAAAGATGCATAAAACGGACACCTTAGCATGTGAGTGTCCTTTGGGCTCTTCAAGACACCTTCTTTAAGGTTTACCCCTGGAGTAGCAGAGGGTCTCCTCACCCAGGTGGAAAGAGATGGGCTCCATCTGCAGGTGAGGGAAAGGCACTGGCGCACGGCACTCAGCAATTCAGATACAGGCACCAGGTAGGAGCAGGATGGCTTACCCAGCAACCTGCCTCTTAGCTCCCTGCTAGTGTTCTTCCCTCCTCCCCTGGTTTCCAGTTAAAAGTACCCTTGGCCTGGGCTTTAAAAAAAAAGATTAAGCTGGAGAGAAAGGGGATACACTTGGGCAAGAATGGATATTTTGTGCTAGATTCATGGAATTTTCTAAGTGTCCAGGTGTTTTGGTTTTAAGCACCGGCAAGAGCTCCCTTTGGAAATTTCAGTGTGGCCAAATGATTATCAAGCATTGCAGCATCTCTCTGCCAGCCTCCCACCCTTAGAAAGGTGGCAGAGTGAGAGTTTAAATACCCTGGGAAATGTGTTTCATCTCAGTAATATTTCCATTGGGTATCCATGACATACAGTATGGTCTGCCAGGGCTGCAGGCAGAGAGTCATAAGCAAAGAGAATCTACAGACCCTCTGGACAGGGACTCATAAGCCTTCTCCTAAATCTAAGCTTTGCCAAAAGGTTATCAACTTCCAGGACCAGCCTAGAGAAATAAATTTAAATTCCAGAGAGTAGGAAAGGTGATGTAAATGATTAACTGAAAAAACAAGTATCAATAACTCTCAAAGTTTTCAGTTAGAAATTTCTGTAAGTTAGCCTCAAGAAACTCCACTACTAAACTGGAAAACCATGACTAGGAACAGGAAGCAGCCCTGGGGTAGAAGCATCCTAAAGAATTGTGACCCAACTGCATCAATATCTGATTTCATCTTTTATTAAAAGCTGAGAGTTAAAAGAACTGTAGGGATAACTAAGTCCACCTCAAAGTCCAGACAGAAACTGCCCTCCCAAAGAAACGTTTCTTTAAAACAAATACCATGCCTTCCCAGATATTATGGGTAGGCAAGTGACTGGGTTTTGCAGATTAATCAATAGCTGCCCATGTGCATGTAGTCCAGAAAACATGCCAAGAAGGAAGAGCTCTGAACCAGACACAGAAAGGCAGTGTGGCTTCCTCTCTAAAGGGGAATGCAAAGGGCTAAGAGCCCTGGCTTCAAGCAGCTGTTATTCTAGATGAGGAAAATGGAAATAGATTCAATCTCTTGGATACTGCTGCCAACATGCTGAGCCCTTCACCAGTTGCCTTGATTTGAAGCAGGCCCTCTATGTATACTGGCTAATGGACGGACTCCGGCAGTGAAACCCACATACTCAGCAGGCTGCATTCTAATGAGAATGAGGGAATTTAACCAATGGTGTTTGAGCTGGAAAGATAAGGTCTGAGAGTCTCAAAGAGCTGGAAACCCAAAAAAAGCGAAGACCAATCCACCTCAAAATAAGAAAGAAAAACAAAATTCATTTAAGGGTACTCTAAAGATGAGTTATTTACTTCTGGAAGAAGTATCCTTTTCTTATAGCTCCCTCAATAGCAGTACTTCTTATCCAAGTATACTCTCAAGCAAGCAGGGCTACAGATAAGGAAAAGCTGGGAAGAGACAGAGCATAAATCTAAACAAGAATTTGCATATTTGGCCGGGTACAATGGCTCACACCTATAATTCCAGCACTCTGGGAGGCTGAGGTGGGTGGATCACTTGAGGCCAGAAGTTCAAGACCAGCCTGGCAAACATGATGAAACCCCGTCTCTACTAAAAATACAAAAATTAAAAATTAGCCAGGCGTGGTGGTACATGCCTGTAATCCCAGCTACTCAGAAGGCTGAGGCAGGAGAAACACTCGAACCTGGGAGGCAGAAGCTGCAGTGAGCCGAGACCACACCACTGCACTCCAGCACTCCAGCCTGGGCAACAGGGCGCAACTGTTGCCTCAGGAAAAAAAAAAAAAAAAAGAGAGAAGAAAGAAAAGAAAAGAAAAGAAAAGAAAAGAAAAGAAAAGAAAAAAGACTTGGTTAGGAATGAGTGCCAGAAACACATAGTAGCCATTCACTAGAATGTGTTGAACTGAAAAACTTAAGTTTGTCTTCAGGGAGAACACAAGACCAGTTCTTTAAGAACACATTGCCATCAAGAAGCCCAGGAAGAGATGGGCGGGCATGCAGGGTTAACCTGTGCACTGGATTTAGAGGAGCAATCAAGCACTGACATTTGTCATTCTTAGATGTTCCCTATTTTATTGAGTGGTTGCTTCCTGGGTGAGAGACCTGACCTGAGTCTGTTGAGACTGGAGAGACCAGGTACCAAGCACCCACTCTGGTGGGAACCTGGCTTCCTGATAACATCATCTATTTCACCTAAATGTGAACTGCTTTCTTTTCTTCAGCTCAATAGCTTAACATCTAATTCATGTTTGCACCCTTTGCTGGACAATCCCCATTCCAAACAAGACAGGTTTAGTGGCTCAGCTGGAAGGCCCCAGTTCCTTTCATTAATTCCTAGCTACAGGCAAATAGAAGTGGTAAATGAGTCTTACGGACACCAAGTCTAGGACGTGCAAATAAGCATACTTCAGCTGTTGGTAGTTAGGCATATTATTTTCTACTACTGCTAGGAATTGCCATTTCTTACCACCCTCTCAAAACCAGCAGGTAGCTTTGGGGAGTCTGCCTTCTGTCCCAGTTTGGTTATGCACATCTTGGAGAATTGTTTTTGATAGCCATCTGTCTTTCAGCCTATCTACACTAAACCTACCTCCCTGTTGACCTACTTTCATCCTCAGTTGGGGTGTGGTGCTTTTAAGATATGTCCATATATTATTTGCTACTGCTCCACTGGGGTAGAGGTATGTGTAATTCCTCTCTCCTTGAGTGCAGGCTGAGCTTAGTGGCTTCCTTCTAAAGACTAGGATAAGAAGTGATGGTGTGTCCTTTCCAAGACTATGTCTTAAAAGGCACTGCAGCTTTCTCCTGGCCCTGCCCCACGATCTCTGGGATCAGCTGCTCAGGGAGAAGTCAGGTGCCTTATGCAGAGACCCACATGGGAAGAAACTGAGGCATCCTGCCAACGGCCACAAAAAGAGAACTTGGAAGTAGTTTCTCCAGCTCCAGCTGACTGCAGCCCCTGCTCACATCTTGACTGTAACTTCATAATACCCTGGGCCAGAACCATCATGTTAAACTACTCCCAAATTCTTAACCCACAGAAACTGACACATAATGTTTACTATTTTAACATACTAAATTTAGGGTAATTTGTTACACAGCAATAGATAACTAATACAGGTGGAAGGACAAAACTCTTGGCTTGGAAGCCCAACGCCTAGAAAGTCAGTTTCTCTCTATCTGTGCCCTTGAAAATGCTGTACCTATTTAAACAGCATATGAGAACTGCTGAACTCAATAAACCACACTATAAAGAAGGCAGAACCATGACAATGCATGTCTGCTGTTGGAATTTGAAGGAAAGTCACTTCTCATTAAGATCAATTGTCCCCACAAGTATAGAAGCATGGATTCCTCGTAAAAAGAAAACTACAAATGGAAACTAAGATGTTAAGAGCTGTCTCAGTCAAAGTGGTAAGAGTATTCCTTCCCTCTAAAAAACCCAGGACACATTCATTAAGGGTTTCATCTGTGAGGTTCCCTCCAAACATGCAGAGGCAAACCACCCAATGGACTCTGGCTTGTTCTAAAAATAATTCTATGAGGCATGACACAAAGGTATCATCTATTGAAGTTTATCTCATGCCCTGTGAAATTATTTTTTAAATGCCAACTTATGGAGGTCAGAGACTGTCTAGTAGTGGTGGCCTCTGGGAAAGAACTGCACCAAGCCTTAAGGAAGTCCTTGCAGAGAAGGGTAAGGGATTGAACAGCTGCCGCATTATACAGCTGACACTCCCAAGAAATACTAAAAACATGCCTTCTGATTAGGGGGTCACATGCAGAAGCTCCCCAAGACGGCAAGAAAAAGGAAAATGGCATCTTGATACTACTAAAGCTCATGCTTTAAATCCATTCCCCACCAATTAGTGAGGAAGCCAAGTTTTCACACATAGCAATAAAGATCAAGAAGAGTTCACTCTTCCGCTCACTGACGGACTGACTAGCTGCTAGTTGGGTCAAATTCCACAGGATGCCAAGGCCAGTGTATGAAGAACGAAAAGCTTCATTCCCAAAGAATCAGGCTCCCCAGGGTGCAGAGAGGTCCTGAGCATGCTTCTTATGTAAATTACAGCGCAACTTAGGTTTTTCCAAGAATATGTAAAATGAGACTTGGAGTTTAATTAAACAGAACAGGGATACATTAAACAAACAAACAAAAAATACTTTTCTGATTATCAATTTTTTTGAGACTCAAAGCATCCCCAAAACATTGGAGATCCAGCTTATTCCTGAGACATCAACCATCACAAAAGGTTTTCACTCTGAACTATTCACATCTTTGTAGCAGAAAACAGAACAAAGTTCTGCAGACATCCTTTCTCTCTTCTTTCTAAAATGTATTCACAAACAGGGTCTTTTCAGAGTTCAAAAGAAAAACAGGTTTCTTTCTTGGCCAAATGGCTGTTACTCTCACCCTGGGATCTGATTTCTTAATAAAAAAGTTCAGGGCACCAAATCTAACCAGAAATTCCCAGGACACCAGTGGCTACTTAACTATAAGGGGATGGATGCTTTAGTCTTTCTATGAGGGGAATCATTCTCCCGGGATTATTATGCTGCTCAATAGTTCCAGGAGAGGTAGGTGGGAAGGAGGGTGAATGCAAAAGCTAAAGGGTCAGAGAAAAGAATGAGGCTTTCATGAACAACCCATAGCAAGGCAGAATGGTCCAGTTTTACAAACCACCCACTACAAACTCCAAACATGCACACTCAAAACTAGAGGGGAAAGGAAAGAGCTCCTGGGGGACTAGGGGAGACAAAAGATGGTGACATAGAACAGCAGACTCGCCTATGAACATTTCTCATCTTCCTAACACTGGAAGATGTTTAATTAAAAAGTTGCTGTTCAAAATTGTACTGAAAACATATCTAAAAATAGGTCTGTAGTCATCTTAAAAATAAAAGGTCACTTCTCAGGTAAGAGGAGTGACAGATATTCTCAGATACCAACACCTGAGGTATCTTTGATGTAAATTTGAAAAATGGCCTGGTAGAGAAAAAGGAAGGAAAGGAAGGAGAGAGGAAGAAAGTGAGGAAGGTAGGGAGAGAAATTCAGAATACAACAGGAAAGGAAAGAAAACTGGGAGGAACACATTTTTTAAGCCCATGCTTATCTATTCCAGCAGCCAAACAAAGCAGATCCACAAAGGAAAAAATGCAGTTCTTTTCTAAGAACATTCTGAAAATCAACTTCAAACTCAAAACATAAGGAACTGCAATCTAAGAACAACTATCACAATGCTCACTGGACTTAAAAATGACAACTGAGACCGGGTACTCAAATGGGTCAACGTTCTTCAGAGGTCATTCTTAGGCATTATCTGACAGAATACTATGATCAGGCTTTACCCACCAAGTAGAGGCTAAAGTGCTTCTATTACTTGGTATGGACCTGCTTTAGGAGCAGACAAAATCACTTCGCTTTCTTGAAGTACAAGAGGACTCTGCCAGCAACAAGATGCAAGCAGGGAAGAGTGGCAGAAGAAGAGCAAAACTGGTTACCACGGGCTCTCTTCTGATGTACAGAGTTAAAAATATCTGCACAAATGCACTAAGTAAAAGGACAGGAAGATGAACTATAATACCAAAGACAGAAGACATTCCTCCCAGAGGAAAGAAAGTGAGTGGACCTCAAAACAGTGTCACAAGGTAATGCTACTAGAGTTGCACAAGCTGTGCTCTGTCCCGAGGGACAAATACCTCAAGGTAAAAGGGAAAGCAGCTCTCTTTTTTATCATTTCCTCCTGCTGGTTGTAAAGATCCCAAGCCCAGACTCTTGCAACACTGAACCATAGGTGGGATAGAGGGAGGAGAGACAGAGGGTAAGGAACATGAATGGTGTTAGGCCCACCAAACCTCTGTATCCCTTCCCAGACAGGCAGTTCTTGATAGGTTGAGATTCGATGTGGGACAAAATTACAGGGTAGGAGGGTGGCTCTCAATAAAAAAACAACTAGGAAAGTCAGAGTTGAACTGTTGTCCTCTAAGGGCTGCTTAGCTCTACAGAAACACAACCTTCAATCTAACCTGTTTAACTGGGAAGGGGAACAGGAGACAGGGAGAAGAAATGGTCAGATGAAGCTCATCTTCCCATCATTTGGCACCCAGAGGAAGAGGGGGAGGTGGAGACTGTAATGGGGACTGCTGGTATTGCCTCTTCTGTCTTTTCACTGTTGATCCTATTAGCCAAATCAGGTGCACACAAGTATCAGTGTTGCTTTTCTTCTAATCCTTGCAGGGGAGTCAGATGTCCATCTCGAACTGAGCATCATCCCCTAGTTAGGACAAATGAAATGAAGAGTTTAGCACATACACAAAAAAGCACAACAGTTTTAACTGTCATTCCCTCTATCTGAGAGATAAAAAATAATTCAAACTGTCCCACTCTCTGCTGCCTTGAAACAATTACTCTGCTTTGCCTTGGCTGGTCTTAATCTGAAAAAGAAGAATGGTAGTTCCATCGCCCATGGGAGGAAGCTTTGGGGAAAAGGACACAAGTGAAAACATCCCCAGTGTCTCTTTGTCTTCAGGTTGAATAAACAGCAGCTCCTGGGGAGCTCTTTGCTGTCTCTCAGGGGAGCACATTCTTCTGGAGGCTTTGGACTTTGGCCCTGCTCCAAACTGACACTTTGTCCATTAAAAAACTCATCTGAAATATCACAAAGCAGAATGCTGGCCCACATCTAGGGGTCACTAAGTGCAGTCCCTGAGGAGTATTTCAGGAGCTGGCCACTCCTACCTCACCATTCTGCTTCTACAGAGATAAAGAATAAAAGAATGTGTTGGAGGAGGGGTAATTTAGGTAAATCTTAAAGGCAGTTCCGGAAAATAGAGGAAATAAATCATATTGCTTTTCCTCATACTATAAAAAAGAAATTCATATAAGAAACAAGGTCTATTTGCCTGAGGGTGATGGAAATGGGGGCTATGAAAATTGTTTCATTTTCTTTCTTTCTTTCTTTTTATTTATTTATTTGAGACGGAGTCTCACTATGTCACCCAGGCTGGAGTGCAGTGGTGCGATCTCGGCTCACTGCAAGCTCTGCCTCCGGGGTTCACGCCATTGTCCTGCCTCAGCGTCCCGAGTAGCTGGGAATACAGGCGCCCGCCACCACGCCCGGCTAATTTTTTGTATTTTTTAGTAGAGATGGGGCTTCACTGTGTTAGCCAGGATGGTCTCGATCTCCTGACCTCGTGATCTGCCCACCTTGGCCTCTCAGAGTGCTGGGATTACAGGCATGAGCCACTGTGCCCGGCCCGAAATTGTTTTGTTTTCTGTGTTATTCTTAGTCCAATGAAGCCTAGGCCAGGTAGTCCTTAAGGCATGGTTCGAGAAGTCACTTTTGGAGTTTATCATACTGATTCTGGATTCTTTTCTCCCACCAACTACATCAGATTTATGATTTAGAACTCAGGGTTTTCAGAGCATTTCAAGAAACCTTTGGGGGAGGAGGGAAACTTTACAGACATATAACTGAACATTAGTTATAACTGAAGAACTGGCCAGGCGCGGTGGCTCACACCTGTAATCCCAGCACTTTGGGAGGCTGAGGAGGGCAGATCACCTGAGGTCAGGAGTTCAAGAACAGCCTGAGCAACATGGCAAAACCCCGTCTCTACTAAAAAATACAAAAATTAGCCAGGCGTGGTAGCAGGCGCCTATAATCCCAGCTACTCGGGAGGCTGAGGCAGGAGAATCACTTGAACCCAGTAGGCGGAGGTTGCAGTGTGCTGAGATCGTGCCATTGCACTCCAGCCTGAGTGACAGAATGAGACTGTGTCTCAAAACAAAAAAAACAAAAAAACAAAAAATAAAAACTGAAGAATCAATAGCTTCTCAACCTATAGCAAACAGACATTCAAATTCTAAGAGCCACGCTCTAGGTCCCCAACACCACCATTCTCTTACCAACTGCATGTTTCCTGTCGTGATTGTTCAAGTTGTTCAAATTGTTTACTTCTACTTTGGAGTCTTCAATTAAGGTGCCAGGGCTAGTGACTCCTGGGATATTGGGCAGATGGCAGGGTGGGGTCTGAGCCATGGGAGAATTGCGACGATCCAACAGAAACTTTCTGTCATAAATGATTCGAGTTCCTGGAAAACACGGTTAAAAAAGAGTTTGAAACAATTTAAGGGGTTATCACCATATACTATCCAGCAATTTAATTTAAATCCCATGTAATCCTAACTTTTAAGGATTTTACAATTGAAGTCAAAAGCATAATCTCTAACCTCCCTGCCTGTAAACAGGCTCCTCTGCCATCTGGAATGCCCTCTTTCTCTTCTGCCAGGGACACTCCTGCTGATCCTCCAAGACTCAGCTCCAACCATCACTTCCTTTATGAAGCCATCCTCACCCCTCACTTTTTTAAAAGGTTCTTCCTCTCCATCTTACACACATCACGTATTACAGGACTCCTGTTTATCCATCTGTCTCTCTTTATAGACTTTGAGTTTCTTATGTCAGGGCTATGTCTTATTTATACGTGACCTAGGCCCTAATATTAACATCTTTAAGAAAAAAAAGTTTTAAATTTATGATACTAGGAAAAAAAAAAAGTTTTAAATGAAAGAATAAACAAGTATGAGAAAAAATAAACAGTCCCTTTTAAAGGCTTTCCAAAGAAGGACTGAGACTGACATTCTTCTCACAGCTATTATCAAAGCTGAAACTGGCAGTCCCTCTCTATTCCACAAAACAATCTGCTTACCAGTAAGTACTACCTGAATGTTTTAAAAACAATAGTTCTGAAGAATACACCTTAACTGATAAACAATTATGCTGCTTACAAATGGTGAATAGGTACATTAAAAGGTACTCGACATCACTAATCATCAAGGTAATACAAATCAAAACCATGATGAGGTATCACTTCACATCTCTTAGGATGGCTATTATCAAAAAGACAAGAGAGCCTGGGCATGGTGGCTCATGCCTGTAATCCCAACACTTTGGGAGTCCAAGGCAGGAGGACTGCTTGAGCCCAGGAGTCTGAGTCCAGTCTGGGCAACATAGGGAGACCCTGTCTCCAAAAAAATTATTTAAAAAAGAGCCAAGTGAGGTGTTGTTGGTCTGAAGTCCCTACTACATGGAGGCTGAGCCAGAATAGCCTGCGTCCAGGAGTTCGAGGCTACAGTGAGCTATGACTGCACCACTGCACTCCAGCCTGGGCAACAGAGCAAGATCCTGCCTCAAAATTTAAATCAAATATAATTTTAGGACAAGGAAAGTAGAAACTTACCTTCATCCTCTTTGCTTTGAAAAACAAAAACTAGAGTAGCACTCAAAAAGGCATCTAGGTATTATGAGGAACGAGGTATTCTGGGTAGCACAAAACTTAGTTCAACTTTCAAAGAGTGAACAACTTCAATTATCTTGAATGGAAATACTTCTAATACAGATTTTAAATCCCTTTATGGCCTTCAACAGAAAACGATTCAACCCTCTTACTGACTCACAGTCATTATTATGAAAATTGTTTATTATACTATATTATGACCTAAGAAGTCTCAAGCCCTACCAAGTTAATGCTCTGTAGAGCTGAAAATCACTATACAGAGTTCAGGTGGTCAAGGCTGTGCTGGTGCACCCTTCCCCCCCAGTGTCCTTGTCTCTTGTCAGACTAAGAGCTGCCTTTTTTCCAGGCTACTATGACTCAGTCAGCTCAGGCTGCCATAACAAAATACCACAGACTGCACAACTTAAACAACAGAAATTGTCTAATAATTCTGGAGGCTAGAAGTCCAACACTAAGGTGCCAGCATGGATGGCTTCTGGTGAGGGCTCTTTTCCTGCCTTCTCATTGTGTCCCTTACATGGGGGTAAGGCGGCCACAGCTCTGTGGTGTTCCATCTTATAAGGGCACTAATCCCATCATGAGGGTCCCACCTTTATGACCTCAACTCAACCTAATTAACTCCCAAAGGCACCACCTCCTAATACCATCATGTTGGGAATTAAGGTTTCAACATAAGAATTTGGGGGAGACACAATTCAATCTGTATAGCACACCTTTAACACCCTTTCTAACTTGGTGTTTCTAGTCTGCTGTGTTTGGAAATCAGCAACTTGCTTATTAGCATGCTATGTAAAATAAGGGCAAATAGGCTGAAAGGGGGTCTGATGGCCTTCCAATGAACAAAGGGAAGGAGCTTTATCGATGGACTTTGCCTATCTGTTTGAGTTACCCCATTTTTGTTCATGGTTAGATTTCAGAAGGGCGAGGTTTCACTGTCAGATGAGTCAACCTGCAAATTGGAACAAGATTATTCTTACTTCTGTAGTACATCAGGCCTGGAAATTGTGGAGATGAGGTGGTGAAAAAGCATAGCACAGAAGCAAGCTTTCTAAATTACATATCAGCAATAACATATACATTAAAGAATTGCAATTAAACCAACTAGGATATAGGTAGTAGAGATTCTGCCTAAATGTGTGAGATATAAGAGAAACTCTGAAGAACCTCTATGATCTTGAAGAGCCGATAAGATACGGTATTTTACAAGTTTATTGAAATAGCATTCACTTACAATTCATCCACTTATAGTGCATAACTCAATAGTTTTAGTTGATACGCAGAACTGTACAATCATCACCATAATCAATTTTAGAATCTTTTCATTACCCCATAACCTCCCCTCAACCCCTTAGATGCCACCTAATCTCCCCACACCCTCTGGCCCTAGGCAACCACTAATCTACTTTCTGTCTCTATATGTTTTTTTTTTTTTTTACCTATTCTGATCATTTCATATAAATGGAATCTTACAATATATGGTCTTTTGTGACCGCTTCTTTCACTTTCATAATGTCTTCAAAGTTCGTTTATGTTGTAGCATTTATCAGTACTTCATTTCTTTTTCATTACCAAATATTTCATTGTATGTATATATCACACTTTATCAATTTATCAGTTGATGGACTGGTAAGTCGATAAAAACAACAGTCCATCAACTGATAAATGGGTTGTTCCCACTTTTTGTCTGTTATAACATTCATGTACAAGTTTTTGTGTGAACACATTTCCTTTCTCTTGGGTATATACTAAACTAAAAAAGTGGAATTAGCCAGGCATGATGGCTCACACCTGTAATCTCAGCACTTTGGGAGGCCAAGGTATGTGGATCACTTGAGCTCAGGAGTTCAAGACCAGCCTGGGCAACATGGCAAAATCCTGTCTCTTAAAAACATACAAAAATTAGCCAGGCGTGGTGATGCATGCCTGTAGTCCAGCTGCTGGGGAGGCTGAGGTGGGAGGATGACTTCAGCCCAGGAGATGGAGGCTACAGTGAGCCATGATTATACCACTGCGCTCAGCCTAGCTAACAGAGTGAGACCCTGTCTCAAACAAACAAACAAACAAAAGGTAGAACTACTGGGTCATATGGTAACTCTACCTTTAACCATTTGAAGAATTGCCATTTTTTTCTTTCAGTTTTTTTGGGGGGACAGTCTCGCTCTGTCACCAGGCTGGAGTGCAACTGTGCGATCTCGGCTCACAGCAACCTCTGCCTCCTGGGCTCCTGGGTTTAAGCGATTCTCCTGCCTCAGCCTCCCAAGTACCTGGGATTACAGGCGCATGCTGCTACGACCGGCTAATTTTTGTATTTTAGTAGAGACGGGGTTTCACCATGTTGGCTAGGATGGTCTCAATCTCTTGAGCTCGTGATCTGCCTGGCTCGGCCTCCCAAACTGTTGGGATTACAGGCGTGAGCCACTGTGCCCAGCCAGAACTGCCTGTTTTTCAAAGTGGTTGTACCATTTTACATTCCCATCAGCAGTGTGTGAGAGTTCTAATTTTTATATATTGTAGCCAACATATAGCAGATATGAAGTGGTTTCTCACTGTGGTTTGATCTTAATTTGTGTTTCCCTGATGGCTAATTATGTTGAACATGCTGTTTTCATGTACTTACAGGCCATTCCACCATATATCTTCTTTTGAAGAAACTGTCTATTCAGAACCTTTATTACTAAATTATGATAAGTTATTTATTTTGGATATAAATCTCTTATATGACTGCAAATATTTTCTCCTATTCTGTGGGTTATCTTTTCATTTTCTTCATGACGTTCTTTGATGCACAAAAGTTCTTAATTTTCATGATATCCAACGGAATTTTTTTTTTTTCGTTTGTTTGTGCTTTTGGAGTTGTATCTTAGGCCACGGCCTAATCCAAGGTCATACAGATTTGCCTCTGTCTTCTTCTAAAGGTTGTACATTAATAGCTTTTGCTCTGACATTTAGGTCTTTGAGCCATCTGGTCCACCTTCAGTTTTTCTGTGTGCATATCCAGTTGTATCAGCACTATTTGTTAAAAACTATTCTTTTTCCATGGAATTGTCTTGGCACCCTTGTTGAAGATCAATGGGCCATTACTGTGAGGGTTTATTTCTGGACTCTCAATTTTATTCCATTGATCTATATGTCTATCCATACGCTAGTACCGCACTGTCTTGATGTGTAATAAGTTTTGAAACCACGAAGTGTAAGTCTCCCAACTTAGTTTTTCTTTTTCAAGATTATTCTGGTTATTTTAGGTCCCTTAAAGTTCCATATGAATTTTGTCAGCTTGTCAAAGAAGCCAGCTGAGATTATGATAGGGACGGTGCTGAATGTGAAGGTCAATTTGTGGAGTACTACCATCTTAACAATATTAAGTCTTCTGATCCATGACCACCAAATGTCTTTCTACTTATTTGGGTCTTCTTTAATTTCTTTCAACAATGTTTTGTAGTTTCCAGAGTAAAAGTTTTATGCTTTGTGACTAAATTTATTCCTATCAGATTGTTTTCATGCTATTGTAAGTGGGATTGCTTTTTCTTTTCTTCCTTTCCTTTTTCTTTCTTTCTTTCTCTTTCTCTCGTTCTTTCTTTCAAGAGAGGGTCTTGCTCTGTCGTCCAGGCTAGAGGGCAGAAATGCAATCTTGGCTCACTGCAACCTATACCTCCGGGGCCCAAGCGGTCCTCCTGCCGCAGCCTCCCTAGCAGTTGGGACTACAGGCACACATCACCCAAAAAAAAAAGAAAAATTTTTTTGTATTTTTTTGTAGAGACAGGGTTTCACCATGTTGCCTAGGCTGGTCTCGAAATC